GGGCGCTGCATTGCCTCAGTAACCTGGCTTCGCCATCAAAGGAGGAGGGAGCGGGTGGCGACGAGCTGAACTAGGCTGGTTGACCATTCGGCGCGAGAATTTTTATTTTTTTCAAACCAAGAACCTTGAGTGCAATGAGGGAGAAAGCGAGGAACCGACTGGGAAGGACAGCAACGAGAGCGTGTACGGACGGAGCAGGTCGAGTGGCGTTTTGCTCGGGCTGACTACAGCGGCGCCGGATGGAGCAATGGCACCGGAGCATGCGGGCGACATCGACCCGAGGCGCACGGACAAGCATTTCTGTGTTANTGCTGCTATGATGGCTTTGGTTGGTTGTTCTTTTTCACTGTACGGCCGCTTCTGACAGCACTTCAGACAGCATTATGCTGTAGTCGGCAATCTTCCGTTTTGGTATAGAGTGGGACAGGGAGGGGGTGATGCTACTGTAGTCGAACGGTGGGACGGACGTGCAGTTCAGTTTTTGGGCACGCATACGGTGCTGCAGGGATTTTTAGGTGTACCTCTTCGGGCTCTGGGATACCTTTTTCTCGTTATATGTGTGCGTGTTCTTTAGAACCTCAGATGGCTCTAGCACTTTCGTGACCACGGGCTGGGAGTCTTTTGCTAGATTTTGGCATTTAGCAACTGACATACGGTTTAATGTGAAGACAACAACAACAACAACAACTTTACCAAAAAAAGGTGTCTCAAAAATGTTTTCCCTAGCCTGTCTATCCTATCGATATCTCGTCCCGCCTCTTCAACCCACCACGTTCTGTGCCCCGAGTACAGTACAGCTACCGTCTTCTCTTGTAGGATTGAGGCATTCCATGCCTCAATCATCTCCCTGTATCTTCCTTCTCCTTTTCCCGAGGCTCAGCAACGTAAAATCTCGCCCCCTTGTACAACAGACATTCCGCAACTACATGAACCCGGTGTCGCACTCGGGGCCGCTTTCACATTTTACCTTGGTCGGTGCGGAGGTAGAGGGGGGGGGTAGGTGCTTCTTTGTTGAACGAGGCATACCCCTCGCCGCGTGTCGTTGGGGTTCCTGCCACGCTGCATGCCATGCACGAGAGCCATGTCTTTACCCCTTGAAATATTGAAAGTGCTCGGCCAGCTGTCAAAGTTGAAGGAGGTGTAATTCTTGATCGACACTTGGAGGCCGTCAAAGAACATGTCATTGCTGGCAACCGCCCACGAAGTCAGACTGGGAGACCATCGAGTCGACGCGGGGGCGACGATAGCTTTCCGAAACCTCTTCCTTCGTCGCACCCACCGATCTTCGAATTCAAGCGTCTATAACCGCTGCACTTGACAGTTCGTTCCTGAATGTGGAGCACTCGTAATACTGAGCATGGGCTGATTTGGTGAGCTGATCACTCGGTAGGTCGTCTCAGGAGCGTACCCACCACTTTTTTTGCGACTACCGTGTGAATTTCGAGCTACATGTAGACCAAAGTTGGACAAGCACAGTGGAGATGCGGGTGCGGTGCTATGGTCTGGGGCTTTGCTTGAGGGGAGCGCGTCATAGAGCAGGGATGAGGTCCGGCATTCGAAGAGGGTGTGAAGGTCGCAATATAGCTACGACGGGCGTTAGTAGATAGGGCGGGGAGGACAATCACGCCGCGAGTGACTGTAAATGGTTCAACGTGTGTGTTTGCTCAGATGCGACATTATTTCAGGCGATACCGCGTCTGTATTTAACTCGATTCCAGAGGTAGGTCTCTGTTGAGCGACGTTCAAATAATATATGCATACTCTGTTTTATTCATATGAACACGCTACTCTCACGTGTCAGGCTGAATCCACCCAGAAGAAAAAAACGTCCCTTGAATGGGACCCTCGGCGTACAATAGAAATATGAACAAGAACCCCGTGTATCATATGGATATGCCTGCTCGAAATAAAAACTTTGAAAATAAGAACAGGGGCTCAATTTGAGGAAGCCAATGAGCATCGAGCCTTGGCCAATACAAGCGGTTCTTGAGTGCGGGCGCCATCTGTACACAAGGCCCAGATTTGTTGTGTGATGATTCCGTTTGTCCTTGTTAGCATTGATACCGTTACAAGCGTGCTCTTTTATTAGGAAGTACACATAGACTCGAAGAAAGAGTCTTTACGTGCAGAATGCAATCCGCGGCGACACTCGATGCACCCGTTCGATGTGTACCCGGGACAATCTATTTACTGCTGTGATCGTCGGGAGAAGCTGGGCAGCGGGGTGGTCCCAGGCCACTATCGACTACAACACCAGTCAGTTTCCGTATGAGTAGAAAGGGGCGCACACACGCAGAAGTTGGGTGTAGGTTGAGTTTGAATCAGGCTCCGCATCATCACCATCACCATCACCATCACCGTGGCCTGGCGAGTAAGAACTCAGACCAAAAACACACCGCGGTAAAAAAAAACGATTGGTTGACGTAATTTCCTGTATGCACCTATGCATTCATCAGATTTGACAGCAGAGGAAACCTTGCCGTCTGCATTTATGTCAATGTTCTGCTTCTCAAAAGTCAGGGATTTGACCGCATTTTTGAACGGTAGTCTACACTGCTGTAGTGGTGTATAATACAGGACGCGGTGATGAAGCCAGAACGTCCCTTAGGTCTGTCGCCCGCACATGCAAATTACACGTAAACAAGGTGACTGGTATTGAGTGAAAGCAAAACGCAGTGGATTGTATGCATACACAACGTTTCAAATGCCACACGTGTCGAGCCACGCGCTGCGCTCAACCTCAACCGGAACTTGAACCGTCCGTACCCAAAGCGGACAACATTGACCTTCAACAACAGCTGCGCTGGTTTGTTGCTTGTTGCGCACGTATTTACGCACCTTGATGCCGCACAAATTCTCCAACAAGAATGCCGCCATTGCGAAAAAGAGGTAACCGACGAAGCCGGACCATCGCCTGTACGCTCTCCGGAAGCTCAAGTACACCCCAGGCGGCGAGATCGGGATCAGCAGCAGCAGCGCCGGCGTCAACAAGGTCACCGAGTACAAGAGGGAAGACACAAAGAGCACGGCCACGAACACAAAGCCGCGAGCGGAGGCCACCATGCCGGTCTACGAACCACGGCCGCCTCCTACTATGGCGACTGCTTCCTCTTACTCCTGTCTCAAAGTAAAAGGTGTGCCCATGCAGATGGTCCGCTCTCATCGGACGTTGTCATTGCGAAGCCGGCCACACATTGATTCTACGGAACCCCCTCCGGCTTGCTAGCCCATCCCTATGGTATATGACTATAACGATCAAGCTTGTTATAGTCATATACCATAGGCCCATCTGCACAGACCACTTTGCTTCGTGTCGTGCCTCGTGTGCTACGACGGCCTCCATGTCACACCCGTCGGGAAACTGGGCTGATGATACGTACGAGTTGACCGCGGCGACGGCGGCGGCGGCATCGTCGCCTGCCGCCCCTGCCGCCACCGTCGCTGGCGGTGGCGGCGCTGCACCAGCACCAGCACCAGCACCAGCAGCAGGGCAACAAGATGCGGCTGCTGGCATGTCCGTTAGTTCATCACCAAAGCCTCCAGCAGCACCGCCGTCCATGGCAGACGGGAGCGAGATGCAAGAGGCGAGTGGGAACGTATTTTTTGTTGCGTGTCGGGTGGGTTCTACGAAGACACGTTGACTTGTTTTCCCAGCCCACGATATCGATCTGAGGTACGCCGCCTGGTACCCATGGGGCCGAAGCGTCATGTGTCGCCCCAAGGGAATATAGCACACATGCTTCGTTTGACGAATCCGGCTGTGTTGTTCAGGATCGTGGAGTGGTTTTCATCTTAGCCTGAAGCCGTTGTAATAAGTTTACTTCTGTGCGGTAGCAGGGTGCTGTTGGTTGGCGGCTCCCGGCCGCAGAGAGTCGGATGTGATACCGCCGGACGGGGGTGTCGCATGTTTGGTCCACAGGGAGGGAGGGAAGAGAGAACAAGGGCAAACCCCGCCGTTCTCGACCCAAGCCTTGTCAGCGGAAAGTGCGGCACGGCTAGGTGGTGAGCTGTTGAGCTCTACCCCCAACTATACCTCCACTCAGCAACAGCTTGTCCGTATCTAGCCTGCAAAATAAGACAAGCCTGCCGTCGTCGTCGGCAAACCGCCGCTCTATTGAGCTTGATGCATGCCTGCGGTGTGTAGTCTATTTGGCTCTAGAGCCAGTCTTGTGCCGCCTTCAACAAACGACAGCATCACCGGGGCGGTTACCGCATAAACGGCCTTGGGCTACCCCAAAGTATCGACGGTGGGGGGTCACGAAAGCGTTATTTTGTTATTGTTGGGTCTCCTTCGGAATCGCACGATGGCAGCGCAACAGCAGTTATCAATTCGTTTCCTCCGTCTCCGTTTTTGCATCACTCACAGAAAAAAATCGGATTTGTTTATGGATGGCGCCTTCCTGTCTCGTCGCAAGAACCTCTCCAAACTTCGTTCCACCTCATCAGTATTGTAATCGCCTAAGCGTTCCAACCAGAAAGACTTCAACCCACCCAAACTTTCTGCCAGGTGCGTTTCCGGCATTGAAACCATCGCTAGACGGATCACGATCCGCGCGCTCTTATGCGCTATCCACCCCCCACCGTTTACCTTCGGCGGAGGCGCTGTTGGTCTGCCAACCGTCTGCCCAATGCATTGAAGTCCTTGCCCCTGACTCGACTTCCAACCTCCGATATTCATAGCTTGTTTCACCATAGCGTGCCTGCAAGGGATTCGTTCGCTACGCGAGCAGCTAAAACCTCAGAACGAGTGCATCGTGATATGGGTTAGAAGCTCCGAAGGTGGACCTGCAATGCTGCGGGAAGAGACATCGGTAAGGAGGCACCACCCCTGTCAGATACCGTTGGCCGACATTAGTACCGGGAAGAGATGACCGGCTGCTGTCAAATCCCAACCCCCAAGTGCTTTGCTCCCCTTCTGGTTGAGTGTGTTGTTTTGGGAGTTGTACTTTTGTCATTTTTTTTTCACGCAGTTTACGACGCGGTCACCAAGGTTGCTCCGCTGCCGGGCGTTGCGTAGAAGCTGAAGCTCTGGAAATCGAGCAAGGGGTGGAGGGCTCATCTCCATTTTTCAGGCGGATTCTCTGGCTAAGCCCGGGGGGGGGCTTTCCAAAGTGTCGGTGGGGTGTGTGTTCCTCACGATTACAGGCAACATCTGGACGCGCAACCAAGCTGAGCCAGCACAGCAATCTCAGGGTGGGTCTTTTACGCCCCCTCCAACGCACCTCAGGGCGAGTCTTCTACGTCCCCTACAACGCACGTACGTTGGAGTGGGCGTAAAAAACTCACCCTGAGATTGCTGTGCTGGCTCAGCTTGGTTGCGCGTCCAGATGTTGCCTGTAATCGTGAGGAACACACATCCCACCGACTCTTTGAAACGCCCTCCTCAGCAACCAGCCTAGCCGGAGAGCCCGCCTGAATAAATGGAGAATGAGCCCGCCGCCCCGTCTCTCGGCTTCCAGAGCTGCGTCCCACAGCTTGTGTACGTCCGGCAGCGGGGCGACCTGGTCGACAGCTAGCTTATCCCAGCTGGGTGATGCCCCCCCGTCGCCTCCCCTGAAGGAAAGAACGCCCGATCTCGGTGTAGTTTGGGCTCGCTGTATACCGTGTAGTTCAGTTGTGAGCACGCAAATGTGCTGCAGGGATTGCAGGTGTACCTCCTCAGGCTTCTGTACCCTTTTCTTGCTAGTAGTGTGTGTGTTCTTTAGATCTTCTTATGGTTCTAGCATTTTTGTGACCACGGACCGAGTCTTTGCTAGATTTTTGGATTAGCAACTGACACGAGTTTAATGTGAAGAAAAACGACAACAACAAATACCCAAGACAGGACAGCCGTGCACGGACGGAAGGACGTTGGCGAGGCCACCGCCGCCGTGGCGAGATGCAAGGGGGGCGACCGCAGGCATCGGTGGAAGGCGCAGAGGGAGCCAGCTGCCGATGGGGGCGCGGCTGCGGCAGCAGCAGTAACCGCGGCAGCAGCAGCAGCAGCAGCAGCAGCAGCAGTAGCGACAGCAGCGGCGGCAAGAGGGGGAAGAAGACGTGCGTCCCCGACCGATACTTGTACCCCCACCCTCGTTCCCCAGCTACAACCGCGTGACGGCCGAAGCGCCCGATTGAATCAGTTCCGACATATCTCTGTTTTTGGTTATACTCTCTCGGCCTTGTACTACCGCTTTTGGGAGGGGAACGGTCGACAGCTCCCGGAAAGACCTGAGAGTCTCTTGTTTGATGTTCAGTTCATGCGCCAAAAGGCCGGAAAATGTTCCGGAGAGTGGGCTGCAGAAGAATTCACCTGCGGCATCCAAAGGGTTAGTTGTCGAAGATCGCCTTTCTTTGCCGTTGTGAGAGGTTCGTGATTAGAGCTGCTGTCGGGGGCGGGCACGCTGCTTCGACATGATCATCAGGAGTACCAACCATGACAACGATGATAACAAAAAAAGAAACAGCATCAACAGTATTCAGCAACCAACACCAGCGACTGCAGATGATGACGACAAAAACCACCATAACAGTGGCACCATTGCCAACAACGAAGACGACAGCAGCAAGCACAACATTAATGAGGACGACGACAGCACAGCAACAACAACATCGTAAGCAAAACCCACACCCGGTGTTGACGACGACGATGCACGCGCGCAGGACAAGGACAACGACAACGACAACGACAGCGCCAAGGTCGGGAAGCGGGTGACGGCCATCGATGCGGAGACAGACCGGATGGCACGCCTGTTCCTAGGGAAGGAGAACGAGGAGCAGGCCAAGCGCCGCCTCAAGATCGTGCAGGTCAGCAATGTGGTAGAATGCGCATCATAGGAATGTTGAAAGGTGGCTACGGAGGTCGCGCAGGTCAGCATGATGGAAGTTTGGGTAGCATTGGTGGTGTATTATAGCGCCTCAAACTATGGTACAGAGTGGAATGATGGATGCATATCATTATCATTGGAGTGTTGCAGCACCTCAAGAAGTTGTAACAGGTCAGCAGGTAGTATGTATTGGACTGCTGCGGCTCCTCAAGATCGCACAGGTTAGCATGGTGGAAGTGTGCATATCGTGGGAGTGTTGCGGAGCCTCAAAAGATCGTGCAGTTTAGCATTGGGGCAGGTATGCTCATCATGGGAGTGTTGCAGAGCCTCAAAAGATCATACAGATTCACATATACCAGGTGGTATTCTTCGGTTGCTGTGGCGGTGCAAGATTGTACAGGTTAGCATGATGGTCAAATGCATATGATGGGAGTGTTGCAGCGCCTGAATACATCGTACAGGTTAGTGGTTAGTGGTAGATACACATCATCGGAGTGTTGAAAAATTGCGCGACTAACGAGGTTAACGAGGGCGGGGGCGCCATATCGGGGGGGGGGGTACCCCAAACATCGGGTGGTGTGTAAAACTTGTCAAGTTTTTTCGGAGGCAAGGAGAAAGGGCGTGCTAATTAAGTGATGCGGTCATAAATTATGCGGTCGGACGCTTCGGGTTTGTTAACGTTGGATGTTTGGGTTTGTTTCTTCTTTCCCAAAGTTGTTGCGTTATTCGTTTTGAAATAGTGCCTTCTTATCGTGTTTTGTTTATTTTTCGTCCGAACGTTTCGTGCCTTATTTTCGCATCGGCGTTTTTTTGTTTTTTTTTTGCGGGCGCACCCGCGCTTGCTGTATTGTACCGCCCGCACCGTGGTGTTTCGCAGTCCAACCCCAACTCGCACCTCAGCAGTGCCAAGACCTTCCACGAGATGGGGCTGCCACCGGCTCTCCTCAAGGGCGTGCAATCGCTAGGGTAAGTGTGAGTATTTGTTATGAGACCCCGGGTGATACGCACGTCCGGAATGTTTACCGAGAGGAGTGTGTAGACTGCCGCCTGAATATAGTGGGACGAACACGCACACCCACTATGTAGAACAACGTCTTCGGTTTGGGCCGTACTGAGAGTTGTTCATTCCCAGCAACCGGCCAGTTACCGCGGTCGACGCTAAGAAAATGATAATCAATGGTCTATGATAACAACGACGTCATGCAAAAATTGAGCACCCCCAGCCGCCCCCCCCGGTATTTGCTATCGGGGTTGGGTTTTCGTCGCTTGGCAACGACGTTGTAAAACAAGCCAATTCACTTCGTGAACTCGGCAACCAGGTTACCGTTTTTTTTTTTTCCTCCGGTTTCTTTTTTTGGCGGTAACCATAATGGTGGTCGAGTAGATCATGTTGTGCGGGGTGGATAACCCTCGCTCCGCGCAAGGGGGATGATCGCACCACGTTGTGTTAAAATGGTCAAGCACCCTCGAGGCAGTTACACAGTGCTTACAACTGTCTCTGGAAGTGAAAGCACCAGAAAATAAATTAATTCATACGCAGCTGTCATCCGTACGCAAGGAAGTAAGCACAAGATGCCGAACACCCTTAGCAGGATGCAGCGCACCCTTCATGCGACTCGCCGAATATCTCACGGCGCTTCGCGCTTGGTGATGTGAGAGCCTGGTCCGGTGAGAACCCGGCGTGCTCCGTCCCGGCTTTGTAGGGATGCGAGGTCAATGGTCTAACGACTACGGCATGCACGACTATGAGTACCCCCCCCCCCCGCCCCCCCCTTCTGACCAATTAATCTAGGTTCGAGAAGCCGTCAGCGATCCAGGAGATGGCGCTGCCGATGTGCTTGCGGCGGCCACCGGAGAACCTCTTGGCGCAGGCGCAGAGCGGGAGCGGGAAAACGGCGGCGTTTTGCCTGGCGGGGCTGTGTAACGTAGACACCCGTCTCGCCATGCCACAGGTGACCGAGAGCGAGAGGGCGTCAAATTTCGACCCAAGGGCCGCTTTATACACAAGCGATTATTTGCTCCCGATTTTCCAAATTCCCAAATCCCGACTTTCCAGATCTCTGGAACAAACTCGTTCCAAAATTGTCGGTGCCAATAATTTCTAAACTTTCTAAACTTCCAAATGATTTCCTCGGCCGCAAGTCGAGGTTCAACGGTCTACGGATTTTGAAGTGTGAAAATCTGGAAGCAAAATCACTGTGCATAAAACAACCCTCAGAGAAACACGACACCACACGCAACTTAGCCGAAACTTGGGCCGTACAAGTCAGCACCGCCTTTCCTCAGCGCCCCCCCCCCCCCCTCTGCCCCCGATACCTTTCTCAAAATTTGTATGTTCTCTGTGGCATGCTGCGCACGCGTGATCCCTTGGATCGAATGCGAAAGGCCGCAACATACATTCCGTGCGAGAGGCTTCCAGCCACTCGCTTTCTGTTATCTTGTAGGTCAATGGTGAATTGATTGCTGAAGCGAGCGCCAAATGAAGCTAACCCGCCCAGACACCCAAAACATTTTGAGTAGAAAGTGTTCATGATTTTTCCCGCTACAAGACTGACATCTTTTCATTGGCCGGCCGGTTATCAAGGTCGATGCCCACACACGCCGGAGAAAAGCTTCGCCTGCCCTATGCCGCCCCCTCACGGGGTCCCACTTCATGGCATTTAGAAGTGTTTTGTGTTTTTAACCGCATTAACACTGACGTCTTTTCATTGGTCAGCCGGATAGCGCGGTCGATGCTAATACCGTATATGACACAAGATAACACACCCCCTTGACCGATTTTCGAAGCTCGATTTCTCAACTGCAGGAACAATCACAGCGCCGAAAATGGCGGCGTTGAAACCGTCTCGTCTAGAGCTTTTCCAAAATGTATCATTTCGTTTATGCATCCTCTTCGTCGTTGAGTAATCGAGCTTAGAAAATCGGTCCAGGGGGTGTGTTATCTTGTGTCATATACGGTAACAAACGCACACATTCTCACCACTCCGTTCTGTGCCTTGTTTTGCGACCACAGATGCTGATAGTGACGCCGACGAGAGAGCTGGCGGTGCAGTGCGTGCAGGAGACGCTGTTGCCGATGGCCAAGTTCATGGAGCCTCCCCTCGAAGTGAGTTGTACAACGCTCTTTATTTAGGACTAGTATAACGGACGGGTGAAAGAGGCACGTCTGTCTCCCCGCAAACGACAAAAGCTTAGCACGCGTTTGTTTTCTTTCTCCTCCCCTTTGACGGCGGCGGCGGCGGCGGTGATCACGGTGGCACGGTTTTTGATATGGGCGGTGGCGGTGGTGGTTGCGTCAACGGCGGCGGCGGTGGTTGTGATAACGGCGGCGGCCGTGGTTTTGATGTCGGCGGCGGCGGTGGTTTTGATGTCGGTGATGTTGGCGGTGGCGACGGCGGTGAAAACGGCGTTGGTAACAATGGCGGCGATGGCGGCGGCGGCGGCGGCGGCGGCGGCGGCGGCGGTGGCAGGTGTTTTCAGCCCTCAAGGGAACCCACCCGCCCCGCGAGGGGATCCGTGCCCACGTGGTGGTGGGCACCCCCGGGTCAGTGGTGGCGGCTCTCGACAAGCGCAGGCTGCTGCTCACGCACTGCGCGACTTTCGTGCTGGATGAGGCGGACGCTATGCTCGAGGTGAGCTTTGACGGGGTCAGCGATGATGGAGGGGGGTGGCGGTACTCATATTACGGAAAATGTGAGGGGGGGGGGGGGGGGCTATTGTGAG